CTCTCATTTGTACCCCCACCCCCACCCCTTTTTCTTTACTTCAAACAGCCAACACCTCGGAAGATAGATCAACACCTCTATTCCTCCTTCACTGGCTGAGTTCTGTAGGCCTGAAATCCAGTCTTCGTTCCTGGAACCATCCTAGACCAATAAATAGGATCCTGGGACTGCCATCCACTGAAAAAATTCATAATCAAATAAAGACCTCAACAGAGAGGTTCCGAAGACCCGGAATGTTAGCGGGACGGAGCTGGGACATTCGGAAAGACTCTGTCAATTTTTGTCCTGGGCTGACTCACAGACAGAAGTTCTGAACACATGACCAGACGGGGAGTGGGGACACGCTAAGGAAGCCCTAGGCACCCAGAGGGAAGCTGAAAGAAGATGATCCGTAGAAGCCAAGCCTTCCAGAAACACAGCGGGGTCGGGATGAGACTAAAGACGGGGGCCATTTGCCAAGAAGGTCAGAGTATGAGCTAGGAGCCTAGGAGCCTAGCTCTTCTTTCTGCCGATGTCATCTGACCGTTGTCTCCTCTCCTCCCTCCTGCATGAGGGTGTGAACCCTGCACAGATGTCCCCCTGCCAGCTCTTCAGAGGAGGACCCTTTGTCTCTGGGCCAGGGAGTCAAACCATCCAGGGGTCCCCTGCAGTCCTCACACCCAGTCTGACTCCCTGGGCAGGGGCAGCCTGCTCCCTGGGCCTGGCTTTGTTGAGCTGTCAGTGGCTAGTGAAACTCAGCCGGCCGGAGGGAACTCTGGCACTGGAGGTCTGCTGGAAGATTGCTTCCTGTGTGGAGTGGGCGGGAGGCCGCCGTTTCCTCTGTGATCCCAGATTCTCTGCTGCACTCAGATCGCACAGGGATTCTTTCCAGCCCTTTCCGTCCATGCACAGAGGAAGGGCCGTGTGCCCACTGTATGTCGAGAGAGAAGCTACATGTAAATAAAAACAGGAGTGGCACAGAACCCAGCACTGTCACTGGCTTGCCCAGTTGTCGCCACAAAGCCAAACTTAGATTTTTCTTTTTTTGAGGCAAGTTTAGAAAGCATCTCAGATACACAGCCGAATCCCTTATTTTCAAGGTCTCCCCACCTCTTAAAAGAAAAACACCCACAAAACAAATAAACGAAGCTCCAGGGAACATAAATATGAGACTATTCTTCATTCTTCACTCCCCCAGGTCTTTACCCTCTAGGGCACTATTGATTGTGCTTACAAGTCCTTAGAAATTCGTTTTGTGTGTGCACGCTTCTCTGGGGCCTGGGGAGTGTAACGTGCTTCTTGCTTCTCGCTCCCGTCCTTCCCAGGATCTGGCTGGGCCTACGGGAGACAGTTTCCCATTCCGGGGAAGCTTCCCACCACATTGTGATCGGAGGGGAGCGGGTGGTTGGAGGGTCCTCTGGGAGGCTGTCCAAGGGTCTCATGATGACCACACTGGACACATGACTTGGTGCTTCAGAGGCACACGGGGACAGCCTTCAGGTCAACGAGGTCAAAACCTATATGTGACCTCCTCCCTGGGGGACGGACAACAGAAAAGC